GGTCTGTTTTTGGGTTCATGTTTGGATGATCCAAGGTCAGATTTACATGTTAGCTTGCTTAAAAAAAAGGGGGGGCGTTGAATGGAGTTAGATTTGCTCATTAATGTGGGAATTCACAAGCACTATAATCACAAAATCTAAATAATGGTGTTTTATGGGTTTATATGGGATTTTTATATGTGATCTAATCACTGCATCACAGGCCTCTTTCAGTAAAGTAAATAAGAACCAATTTTGAATATAAAATGAATCTTATCTTTTGTTCTCTTTATTTACTCGAGAACATCCTTATTGTTATTTGTAAATTAATTATTACATTGAGGTTTGAGGTTTTGATATAAACAACCACATGCTCACAGTGCCTTCCATTACCCTTCCCCTTTTTAGTGCACTTTGTATCAATGGAAAAACCACAACCTACAACACAATGTGCCTTCATGTTTTTGGGTGCAATGATAACACCTTTGAAATTTTATCTGCCTGTAGTGCAACAGACGTGCTAATTAGTTCCCTACAAATAGAAATGAAATGATAACACTGACATTAGATATCAGTAAACATCTCTGTTAAACCAGAGGAAAGAGTAATACTGTTTGCAGCGCTGGTCCTTTTCAACTCTCAGTGGAGCAAAGCGCTCTGCCAAAGCCACTCAACATCTAACACAAACAGGGTGAAGAGAGGAGGTGTTTGTTCTGTGGAGATGAGGTTGCTGGAAGAGCAAATGCCTCAAAGCAGATCAACCGGATGCTGGCTTTGGTTTGACTCTGAGGAGCAATAACTTTATGCTAATAATAAAATTAAACTGACAATACAGACTGTTCTCTGCAGTCACACACTGCTGCACAACTCTTCATTATCAGAGCTGTGCAGAAATGCTTTGTTGCACAGTGACACACGTAGATTTTCTTATATATAGATAAATGCTTTGGGACTATCTCTACTGCATGTCTAACCTTGACCCCTAACCTACACAAGCAAATAAATAATCACATACATTACATTAAATCCTAATCTCCTTCCTAACTCCAACACCCTCCTGATGTGAAAACCAACTAAATCAAGTCTTAGGAGCCTTTTTCTCTTCCCTTCCCTCCTTTCTGCCCTGAGTAAACAATGCAACCTCACTGCCTCCTTCTCTCTCTTCCCTGTCCAGGGAAATTAATCTCCCTGAAAGCGATTTTATTGACAGATTCATCTGTGCTCAAACAAATGTTAGAAGAACCAAAGCATTCTGAGGAAGTAGCCCAAGGTTGCTGCTGTTTTGGGATCCACTGTATGTGGTCTGTTGCAACAAAACATATAAGTCAGTTTTGAACTGAATACCCAACATTTACACTGGCATGGGAAATTCTACTCAAAGGTGTTTAGTGACATCTAGTGGCAAGAGACTGACAATGCAAAAACTACTAAACCTGCTGTAAACACTGAAGATACCATCAAGGAATGAAGGAAATGTATTTATCATTATACAACACAAGGTTATAAAATAAAAAAAAGTTTGCAGTTCCTTCATGCTACACAACTGAAGATCATTCAATTAATGGAATAACATAGAAAACTAACCAAATAAAACAATATATACAGTTATGTATTTATATACATATAAATACATATACACAGAGAAAATATATTTTTTTCCGATCATTCTAATTGTATGTATTTAAACATTTTGATTTAGGCCAATCAATTGTTGTTTGTTGTCTCTAGTAAAAACAATCATATAAATGTTTTACCATAGTTTTGTGCCATTGTATTTCAACAGAATAAATATGATGTATGCGAGTTAAATGTGAGTTCTTTCTTCATTATAAAGTAAGCTAGCCATTATTAAACAAAAACGCAATATGGCGGGGCCGTGTTAAAATACTGCAATACACAAAAACATTTTCAAACTGATGTTTTTGAAATCATACTGACTGAATATTTTTGTGTGCAGTTTGCCTGAATACTTCTAGCTATACAGAGAGTCAGACTTTTAAATCAAAACTCTTCATACCGACACATGTCGTGATGAATAACACAAAACCAAAACTAATGAGTTGGGAAATGGTGGCTGATTGTATCACTTTACCGTATATAATCCTTTCTGCATTGAACTCAGGTAGTCACAAAACCACTGAGGACTTTAACCTCTTGTGCTACGTGACAATGAATTTTCCTCCAGGGCTTTTAGGAGAAGTATCAGTATCAGGAAACTGGTGTAAAGTTGCCACCACAAACTTTGTTCAACGTGTTCTGTCTGTCATTTGAACATGGTGGAAGTGTTCGCCACCTTTGTACATGGGGCGTATGCTCTAGGTGAGCTACCAAGGCACAACAGATAGATAGATGTTTTTAAAAATTATCGCTAATAACATTATCGTCCTATGCAGCAACTGTAGAGTCTGATGCTGAACCACATACTATATATGTGCCCACACTTTGGCCTTGATCAGTGGTACATTTGAAAAGAGAATAGACACATTTTATATGTTGTAATAAATAAATGGATAAATACATTCTACACAAGCCTGAGGCTGTAGATATACTAAAGTTACATGTTTCACAACTGCTAACATCTAACTTAAAGGTGCAGTGTGTAGGATTTTGTGGCATCTAGTGGTTAAGTTGCAGATTCTAACTCTGTCGCCTCACCCTCACCTTCCAAGCACGAAGGAGAAACTATGGTGGCCACAGAACGCACAAATAAAACAAACAGCCCTAGAACTAGTGTTGGGTTTTCCCTTTTGGGCTACTGTAGAAACATGGCGATTCAACTTGGCGGCCTACATGGGAGGCCACCTGCTGCTTCTGCATAAAAAGGCTCATTCTAAAGTAACAAAAACAACAATTCTTATTTTCAGGTGATTATACACTAATAAATATATTTATGCATATTATATTCAATTACTGCTAATAAATCCTCAGAAATGTTACACGCTGGACCTTTAACTGAACAGTTTGTAGTCCATTGGTCATTTTTCATGTTCTTATGGAGAAAAGATTGTGGAGTGGTCCACTTTGGTGTCAGTGCTTCTTACCATGCGGCGCTGCTCAAACTCCTGCTCTGTCCACAGGAAGAAGCAGCTGCAGGTTCTGAAAGTGCAGCGGTTCCTGGGTTTGACCTCGGTTCTATGACAGGATATTGAACCGGGTCAGTGGGACCAGGGTCCTGGTTTGCCCTTAAAACTCCCGGCCACTCTCTTTGTGTGAGATACAGTGTATGGTCCGAAGAGAGCCTTTACAGTTATTTGGACCAATCTAGGAGAAAACCATGCCAACAGACTAACTGCTGATGCTGTGGTGCTGGCAGACAATGTTCTTTTGTGATGCCAGCTCCCACACCCTGGGAACGTGGTTTGAATAGGGGGTGCGGCGACCTTGACTGAACCAACACACAACTGTGCAACATGTGAATCACAGCACCCTGAAGTGATGTCAGCCAAAAGGTATAACAACAAGAAAATGATTAAGACCTGTACTTTAAAAGGTCCAGTGTGTAACATTTAGGAGGGTCTATTGACAGAAAATGTAATATAGTATTTAAAGGTATGTTTTTATTAGTGCATAATCACCTGACTATAAGAATTGTTATGTTTTCGGTTACCTTAGAACATTTTTTTCTACAGAGGGAGAAGGCCCTCTTCCATTGAGGCTGCAATATTGAACCACCATGTTTCTAGAGTAGCCCTTAACAGACAAACCAAACTTTGGCCCTAAATAGGGCCTTTTGCATTTTTCACAGGTTTTGCGTCCACCATAGTTTCTCTTACACACTTGGAAGGCTGAGCTGTATTCAAATAGTTGCAGTCTGCAAGTTCACTGCTAGATGCCACTGAACCCTACACACTCCTTTAATGATCATCTTAATGAACAACAGCACCATAGCCTTTAAATATTGCAACATGTAAATCACAGCACAGTGACATGTCAGCCAAAAACCTGTATAAAGACAGGTGCAGAGCCGATGGCTCATTGCAGAGGGGGCCAGGATCTGTAGTGGGCCCTTATACAATAGGCTGGGAGGGAGGAACGGAGAGAAATGTGGATTACAATGAGGTGAGCTATTTCACCACCATGGACGGTGTCATGGATTTAACATTAAACAGCGACCAGCTGATATTTAATCACCACAACTTCTATTTAAGAGCTATGATCAGATAATGGATAAACAAAGTGAGATTACTTTAGTAAACTGACAACCTCTGACTAAGAGACATATTTTATGGATATTTCATATTATTTTAAAAAATTTACAATTAGCCCAAATAGTGAACTCAGTAACTGCAAGATGTTTGTGTAAAGCAAGTGATTTGATTTAGGGAACTATCTGTATTATGTATTTTTTAAATTATTTTCTAACAATCATTCATACTTTTTTTTTTAAAAATTCAGTGTTTTCTCGGCAATTGTTCTATTAGACAATTTATTTAACTATTTTACTTCACATTAACTTTTCTTCACAGAAGAACCAAATGCTGAGAAATATGCCTACTGTGTATATTTTTAAGTAAGTTTTCTTACACGCCTTAAAATCAAGAAGGCCTAGCAACCCCCCCATGAAGCTTTGGCGGTGGACATTTTTGTTTGTTTTTTACACTTACACTTTTTTTGTAACTAAAAACAACGAGGTAAAAAAAAAAAAGCAGAAAAGCTGCAAGCTTTTAATACTCAGGTGTTTTACCTGTTCGCATCCACACCAACTCAGTGTGACAGGCCCTGGTGTTGGCTACTGCGTACCGTCGTCTGTGCACTGCAGATGCACCTACAAACTGGTCTGGAGTCTGGCATTAAAATATTGTATACTTTAGGCACTTCAAGCTATGCAAGCCCCAGCCAGTACAATCATGTGGTTCAAATAAAGATTTGGACACCATTTTTTTATGCGTTCCCAACATGTATACAGATGAAATAACAGTGTAGTGATAAAATACACGTCAGGGGCAGTTTTGTTTTCCACATGTATGTTAATTTATGCATTTTTGTGTATGGTCACGCCGCCTTTATTTTGAAAGAGTCAGCCAGGAAGTTAGTGGTGACGGAAGAAGCCGCCTGCGAACCCACAACATTAACGACACACGAAACAGAGGCTCTGCACATCCGCACAGTGAGTATGACTTTACTCAAATGTATATAAGAAACTAAAAACTGCTTTATTCCAGCTCGTTAAAGAACTAAATCCCCGCTGCAGACGGCTGGTGTCGACTTATTTGCCCAATAAAACAAGTCGTCAGTGACGGTGTCATCTACGTTACCTGCGCAGCTAACGGTAAACGGTTAACAGTGAACTGTGTTTATATATGAGCTGGTAACGACATGCCCGTAGACAGCAGTAGTTATATTTTAGTTTAACTAGGTTGATGATACGAAGTACACATGAGCAGATTTAACAAATGCCAGCAGACCAACGGACCGCAGCAAGAAAAGGTGTCCCGTGCGGTTCTCACTTACACATTAACTGTTTACATGCTGTTGAAAATACCTATTTAAAAGCTGGCGTATGAGCAACTAGGTTGGGATCCTTTCCCCGTAACTGATCTGCCATCATGTGTCTTTACAACTTCCTCGATTGTGACTGCAAATTCCTCTCTTTTTACGTGTTCCCTCAGATTTCTCGCTGATTAGGGAGGGCAGTGATACCATGTGGAAGTCACATGAACGACAAGGATGAGGCATAAACAACAAAGGGGCAGCTTGAGGAGAGAGACCGCTGCACAGTGTCTGCCATAGGGAGGTGGGGGGTTTGCTGCTTGTAAGGGCCCTGCACAAGCAGCCCCCTGTGTCCCCCTTTCTTGAACATATGCAATGAACAGCACTACTCAGCCTCCTGCCATCATAGATGGGGATGTGGCAGTCAGCTATGTGTTGGTACCATTTCTCCTCATCACTATCCTTGGGATCGCTGCGGCTGTGGTAAGTGGTTAGTGTGTGTGGTTGGCATAGGATGACCTACATAAAGGGAAATGCTAAATTAAAAGAGAGACCTACTTACATTTACACTATATGTAATACTTCTAATTCACTTTATATGTTTCAGGTCATGTATATCCGTAAGAAGAGGAGGTAAGGCTTTTAATCTGCACTTATTGATTTTATGGAACAATGCTTTTGTGATAAACTTGATTGCTTCACTTCAGTGTCTCGGTGTGATCGGTTAAACAAGTGTTTGTCTTTTGTCCCTTCAGAATTGACAGACTCCGTCATCAGCTGTTACCGGTTTACACATATGATCCTTCAGAGGAACTTAATGAAGCTGAACAAGAAATGTTGTGGAGAGAAGAAGACACAAGGGTATGATGAACCTATCTTTCTAAATGTAGAGGGTTGGATTAAACACAGCAGATCTTAATACAACTGACCACATTTTCAAAAAAAACCAAAAAACCAAAAGAAACTGTTGCATTTTTTTGTGGTTGTTGCACCATTTACTCCCCAGCAGTTCCTCAATTGGCCAGTCACTTCCTCCCACACATAGAAACAGCTGCAAAATGTACAATAGAAAGTAGAGCAGTAGTATAGGTTGGTATAGTAAAGGTTGCACAACTCGTTTTTATTTGCAAACCTCACAAAGTATTGATCAAATATTTCGTAAACATGACTTAAACGTTTCTCTCTCACATCTCTTTTGGCCCTTTTAAAACACTGGCTGGCATTCTGGTTACGTTTATTTTGAGGCAGCTCCAAACACCAAATGTATTTTAGTGTGTACATGTTATCTGAGTTATCGAGGTCAAACCAAAGCTGTCTTAACTGCCTCTGATGCTCCTGGTGGTACAAATACTCTGGTTTACAAAGAAGCAGAAATATAATAAAAGAATAAATGGCTCTGGCTAGAATAATACTATAGAAATGATTGGCCTGGGTCCATTCCAGTCAAAATGCTTTGAGCCATGAGAAACACTAGGTGGCAGTATTGATCAGGAGCAAAGTTACTCATTGAGCTTTACACAAATGTTGTGAAACAGTGAAATGGGAGGAACAAAGCCATCATATCAAGTTCTGTATTGGTTTAAGAGGCTATTATTATTATTATTATTATTGTTACTATTGTTACTATAGTTATGCCTTTCCTGTCCTGAACTAAACTTCCTCTTTGCATTTCATGTCCTCAGATTGTACAAGGCTGGGCCAGGAGTTATCAACAGCGACGCCCTCTTCTGACCAAAGACGTTGATGCATGATGGTAGTAAACCCCGGCATAGAACATTTTCAGTGTGGAGACAGAAACAGAGATCCATCATTTTTTTTCATCATCTTTGCTACCATTTGCCGTTATCTTTGAGCACATCAGCAACAGTCAGCGTTTTTGTTTTCCTGTTGTACAGACAGAGTGACTTTTCATTTGTGTGGTTCTGATGCCAACCCTGTGTGCCTACCAGACGCGGTACCTTAAACTTATTTATTTGAAATTATTTATTCCGACTTTTTACTGTGGTTTTCGGTGACGTGACTCAAAGTTAAGAAAGGTAGATTATATCTAAAGACACAGGTTCCTGTAGGCTTACTCTGTTTACGTTCACAATGTTGTTGTATGGGCAACTTGCGGCAAGCAGTTATGTTCCTGTGGGTTGCAGTAGGCGTTTGTACTGACTATAATTTAGGGGCTTCGTCCACAGTGTGGTAAAAGGGTGACTGTTCTGCACTAGTTAAAAATCATCTCTGCAAGGATTTGTGATCATGGCCTGGATTGGTTTTTTGCAGTGCTTTTAGAAACAAATATGGCTTCTTTGAGGAAAGTTCTGACATTTGTTTAAACTTCAAAAAATAGTTTTAAATTTAAAGTTTTATAACGTTAAAGGTAGAAATAGTTTGCTTGCTACGTTTTTATTTCAGTTTCCTTTTCAGTCAAAAGGTTGAACTCCCCCTCTTTGGTTTTATTTTCCTCTCAGAATTTAACTAGCTGCCCCACAATGCAGATCTTTTTGTGGTTAAGCCAAATCCTATGACTCATCAATGGCATGAAAAGCCAGATATGGAAGTAAATAACACCAACCTCCTCATCTCCAAATGAGTTGTGACTAGTGCCCTAAATATGTCCTGTGGCACCAACACAAAGTTACCTCCAGCTGAAGTCTGTTCAGATGAATGCCATAGGTCTGACTGTATCAAGCACTCAGGAAACCTTGCTTTCTGGATAAATTGTAACCTTTACAGACATTTATTTGCCTTGCATTTGTGAATGTAAATTAAATACTACAGAACTGAGCTGTTAAACTATTCTTGAAGAGGAAGATATTTGTTGTAAATATAAATGTCTTGGACAAATAATGCCTAGATTTGATGTTATCAGGTATGACATCTAGAGGTGTTTGAGAGTGAGCTTTTAGATCAGTTTTTCTGACATTTCTGGACCCCAGAACATGAATCCACGGTGCTCCCCACTCATCTTCACACCCCACTGTTCATTTTCTATGCATTATCTAAAGACTTTGTTCCTCAATCATGACATTGAGTTGCACTGGTGAAATGCCTGGCTAACTTCTCATGAAAAGCTCTGATTTCAGTTTGACAAGTTGGAAAACTACTGATGTGTAAAATGTGAATTTTGCTGCACCGTTATAAAATTTCACCTTCAGGGTGTTGTACTAGTTTGTTGCTTTGAGAGAGAATTGACGGGTTGACTTAAACATTGGACATGTAAATAAAGTAATATAACTTTTGTGCTGTAATTATCATTTGTAGTTTAATTAAGCTAGTAGTGACACCATAACCTGCAAGTGTACTTGAACCTTTCGGTGGGAAAAAAAAGTGACAGAAAAATGACAAAGAAAATTCTCTTTATTGACCATTTCTGATACAAATTGTTGTAGGGCACCATAGAAATATAGACATTGTACATTTATATACGGTGTACATTAAAAAGAATGATCCCATCCTGTTGAGTTTACAGTATATAAATGAACGGATGCAAGATGTACGTAATGACGCTGATATGAGTAGTTGGAGGATGTTGAAAGAGGACATGAACTGACCATTGTATGAGTATGGCGAGGGTGGCTGTGTGTGGTAGTGCCAAACACACTGTGGCCAACAGAACAGTTAAGTGGAAAGAAGAGCGCCCAGTCTGTCACAAACACACAAACATTTGTCCATGAAAATCTGAACCAATATTTCAGTGCACCAGAAGTTTTTTTTTTAAAACGGATAAAAACACACCTGCTAATCTACCACAGTCAGTGAACACAGTTGTCAAGCTGACAGGTCTCCCTGACTTGCTTCACACATTTAATACAACCTGTCTGCAAGCTCTGGTTATGCATGAGCCAAGACTTGCTGTGTATGCACACACAATCACAAACTTGATATCTTTAGACCTCATTACAGTCAGGTAAAAAAAAAAAAAAAAAAAAAATACACAAACTTTGTAATAACATCTTTCCAACTCATGCCAGAGGTTACATTAAAAACAACAGAAAACCAGTTAATGCAATTATATGGTAAAGTAAGCTGTTGAGTGAGGTATGAACTTCCAGGCCATGTATCGCCTGTTTGCAGTTTTCCGGGTTTCGTAACTGAGGTTGTAGCAGCTTAGGTGTGTGGAAAAACCCAGTTAAGTGGACTGTGACCGCGGGTTCCCTGACACTTAGAAATACACAAACATCTTTTCCTGTAGCAGACGGCATACAACACACATGTTCAAAAGACTAAAAAGTATATTACTGTACTAAGTGATGACAGAAGGCCCAAGCTAGGTGAAGCGGTGAGAGCTAGATGGAATGAAAAACATACAGCCCTGTTGGATAGTAGTGCCACCAACTATCCTCTACAATCAAACTCCTTGTTTGACCAATTGCAATTTGCCTTTGCGAGTGATTGAGTGAGCGCTTGGAAACTGAGGACCATGTGAAGACAAAGACGCCAATGTAACAGCATTTGTAAAAGCTCCCTGAAGAAACGACACTGATGCTTCTCAGCCTAGAACTCTGCCAACCCTATCCTTAAAAACACACATTATACCAAAAAAGATTTGAGTTTTATTATGACATGAAAAGCAGCACACATGTTTCTTTTTAAATGGTACGTAACCCGAAGGAACAAAAACAGTAAGTCTGATCAGAATATTCTGATTACTAACGATAAACTTTACATCTCCCCTCTACACGCCGAGGACGAAGGAGGTCTGAGAAGCAGTAATCTAAACTGTCCTACAGGAAGGAGGGCGGGTAAAGATGATTCTGCTCTACTGGTGAGAAAG